GAGTGCTGCAAGAGGCACTGGCTGGATCGGGGCCCACGCTCCAGCCAGACATTCTGTTTGTTCCATTTACAAAAATAAATTAATTAATTAAATAAAAGAGGAAGTAATGAATATTTTTTAAGCAGAACTGCATTCCCTGCAACCCAGCTATTATGTGTGATACAACAATAATATCAGAGGGGTAGCCTAGTCTGTAACAGGAAAAATTTAAAAACAACAAATAGTTTTGCAACACCTTAAAGACTAACAAAACATATAGATGGTATCGTGAGCTTTGGTGGGCACAACCCACTTCAGATAACAAACAGGAGAATACAGCATTGGATTTGTGTCACTACTGATAGCCTAGCAATACATGCAGCAGAAGAAACTAGTTACCTCCAAATACATGCTTAGGGTCCCAGAGGAGATTGTATTCTAGGTGCCTCGCCCCTCCTGCTTCTTGCATCCTGTAGCTACACTGCTTTTCTTTAGTGTTCTATCTTGAACAGAGCTAGTACTGGTATGTCTCCTCCAGCCGGAAATGACACTCCAGTGAAGACATGCCTGTAGACCTGCTTGGAGCAGTTTTAGAAGATATTGGGCTTGAAACTGAGTGATCGTCTGGCTACACTAATGCTAAGGCTGCCAGAGATGAACCAACAGTTGGAACGGTGTAAAATTCTGGGGCAAAAAAAGAGTTTTTATATAGACAAGCCTAATGGGTGTGTCTTCTCAGGGAAATAGATTCCAGCTGGGGGCTACAAAAAGCAGGTGGTTAGAGCCAATGCCCTGCAACCATGCAAAGGTAAGCGAGCTGGCTCCTGGTCAAGATGCCCATGGGACTGCTCCCACAACTCAAGATATGCCCCTAGAAGGACCTTTCCCCACTGGGACATGAGTGTGAGCAAAATGAAGGGTTTTACATGAACAAACGCTCTGGCGGACTGGGGAGAGGTACAGGTTTGCATTAGTTAATAATCCACACTAGTCTCAGAGCAACCCGTCCCAGGTGTGATTCCTGAGCTCTGTGCACAGAGAAGGAAATGTTTGATTTTTCTTATTAACACAAACTCAGAAGGCTGGTTGGCTTCCGTGTTATTGGAAAGAAGGAAACCTGCCGCTTCCCAGATGCTGTCTAAGCGTGGGTGAGTGCATCCTCTGGAGGGCTCAAACCCAAGAACATGAGAGCGCCAGCTGGCAGGCATTCCAGAAAGCCAGCAGTATGCTGGTGTTTCCATAGGCACCAGGGGGCTGGTTTCCACTGCTTTGAGCTCTGTGCAATCATTTAAAGTTATGCAGAGCATGGAAGGCTGCCTCACCAGCCAAGCATAGGTCTCCAGCCACCTATTTTAAACACTTTATGTTACTTTTTCCAGGCTCTAAAACCCTCACCCTATTGCTGTAAACTAATAACTCCCCTGTGATGACCCAGTCATACTTGAAATCCAGGAGAGAGAGAGAGGGTGTGTGTGGGGGAATTGCAGCCTGGGCTTCTCACGTCCAAGTGTCCTACTGAGGCTTCTATTTGCTTCCCAGAGCCGTGAAGTTCTCTGCCAAGCTGATGGGGCAGGCAATGGCCAAGAGGGTCAAAGCGACCATCCTCTATGCCACGGAAACGGGGAAGTCCCAAGTCTATGCAAAAACCTTATGTGAAATCTTCAAGCACGCTTTTGATGCCAAGGTAGCGTACCGGCTCTCTGCCACGGAGAACAGAGCGTGGAACTGTGTAGCTTACACACACCAGGCCTAAGGCAATGATCTGCTAGGCACCCTGAATTCCCAGAGACTTTCCCAGGAATAGCAGGCCCTCAGCATCTTGCAGGATTGGGCCTGGGACTGCCTAGGAGAGAGCTGCAAATGAAGCTGCCTTCAATTTTAATGCATTGGGGAGGTCTTTTGACCCAGTTCTTCCCTCTGTTACACATTTAACCCCATGGAAGTCCATGGGATTTGGAGAGGGCCAAGGAGAGCAGAAATTGTCTCTCCCTTAAGTCTCTGGGCCCCTTCCTGTTAGCATTATCGATTGGATCTCAGTGCCAAGCTCTCTGCCAGATCCTCAGGCCACGCTCCCTGCCAGCAGAACTGCACTGATGTCAGCAGAGTGACTTTGGCCCCTCGCTCTAAAGCCTAGCCTACTGAATGGACGCACATGTCCCCATGCAAGGGGCTGCTAATAGCATCTGTCTGTCTGTCTCAGGTAATGTCCATGGACGAGTATGACATAGTCCATCTGGAGCATGAAACCCTCGTCTTGGTGGTCACCAGCACTTTCGGCAATGGAGACCCACCGGAGAATGGGGAGGTAGGAAAGACGTAAGAACTGTCCCATTATTGCACGTGGCAGTAATGGGGGAGAGTGGTAGCAACACCCCCATAGGATGGTGCAGTGGGCAAAGTATGTGGATGGGCATCATGAGACCCAAACCTGCCTTCCACATGCTGTGAGAACTGAAGTTCGCCTCAGTTTCCCCATATAGGGAATGGGAGAACATCTACCTAGCTCCTGGGAAGGCTGTGAGATCAATTAATTAAAAGCCGGCTCTAGATCTTATTACAGTCAGTGGAAGGATTGCCATAAATTTCAGCAAGTTGGATCAGGCCCTTAGAGACCGGCTGATATAAGGCATGATATACAGGAAATTTGCTTAGGTCAGCAGAGGTGCTTGGTACTGTACGAACCCTCAAGGCCCTGATCCTGGCCCCTATGGGCTTACAGACTAATAGATGATTTTAGTGCCAGTGCACAGTGAAGATGGCCAAAGGCCATTGGTGAAAGCAGGTGGGGTCTCTGGACCAGGATGGAGTAGCCGCACAAACTCACCCTTACATCTGGCCTGTAGAACTGACAACACTGCTTTGTCTCTCTCTCTCCAGAAATTCGGCTGTGCCATGATGGAAATGAGGAATCCCAACTCTCACCTGGAAGAGAGGAAGTAAGAGACTCAGACGTGAGCCCCACATCACCCGTCCCAGCAGAGCTGGCCCATCCCTGGGGAACCAGGGACCACACCACCTCCTTCCCTTGGGTTAGCTCAGTGGTTCCCAAACTTTTCAGCATCATGCCCCCTTTTTGATTTTTGAGAAACTCTCACCCCTCCCCCCAAAATAGCAGCAAAACTTGTTGTGCAAAAAGAGAAAACAAAAAAAAGGAACTGATGGGGGCTGAAAAACAGTTGTGGTCCCTTTAATTTCTGGGACCAGTGTAAAAAAAAAAAAGGTGTCGGTACTCCAGGGCTGTGTCCAGACTCAGGGGTTTTTTCGAAAAAAGTAGCCTTTTTTCGAAAAAACTTCACCTGCGTCCAGACTCAAGCCGCGTTCTTTCGAAATTAAATCGAAAGAACGCGGCTTTTCTTTCGATGGCGGTAAACCTCAATTTACGAGGAAGAACGCCTTCTTTCGAAAGTTCCTCTTTCGAAAGAAGGCGTTCTTGAATGTAAATAGGGCTTCTTCGAAAGAGAGCATCCAGACTCACTGGATGCTTTCTTTCGAAAAAGCAAGCCGCTTTTTCGAAAATTCAACGTGCAGTCTAGACGCTCTCTTTCGAAAGAGGCTTGCAGTCTAGACATAGCCCAGGGCAAAAGTTGTTGACCAAAATCAACCAAACAAACAAAAAAGGTTTCCCTTTTAAGAGCAAAGCAGGCATTGCCCCTTTTAAGGTAGCTATTTTGAAGTCTGCCCGAGATGCTCCATCCTCCCCCCACCCAATGGACAAACTGGGCTTTTTCTTGGGGGGGAGGATTGACACGGGGGGGCTGGGTTGCCTCACCCCCCCACCCTGGGTTTACTTCTTCCCCACCCAGG